AAGCAGAGCATTTATCAGTACATTAACACAGATTTCAGTGTTTATCTCAGAGTTGATATTTTTAAAATGTAATTCATGTGACAACATAGAGTTCTTTTGGGTCTCTTGATGCCTAGATCAAGCAGACAGGCCCCTTTGATGGCAACAATATTTTCAACACTGCCATAAATACACCTTTAGGATTTAAAAGAGTCGTGGCATGTCTCTCTTCTTTTTATTGTGAAGCTGGCAATAACAATAACATAGCACACACTTGTGATCAGAATTGTCCCAAACAGTGCCTTATTTCAGTGTTGGATGATTTCACATCACAGTCAGTTTAGCCAGAAGGCAAGGGAGGAAGACATTATGCATATTTCCTAAAATGGTGCTTATTCCATAACATACCAGATCAGAAAATGCAGGTCCCAAAGGAAAAATGCAGGCTGCCTGACAAGATTATAAAAATAGAGTTCTGGAGAGCTAGATAGATGAATGAAAAAGACTTGGGCACGGAGACTGTGGTTGTTAGAGAGGACACTCCCAGTAAAGGGAGGAGGTGAACTGGATGCCCAGCTTGCATTGCTGCAGCTTGTGCAATCTGAAGACAGAGAAGGTAGAAAAATAGCAGCAATCACTACCGCTAATAGGATTATCTTCATCACCACTTCCAGCACTGGGGCTTTCACTTGTAATTCAAAACAAACCAGACACCAGAGAGTCCTTGGAAATAGTGCCTTTAGGGACTAAGGAGAGTGAAATGAAGCATTGTTAAAATTTTGCTTAGAGATATGGCTTTAATTAGGAGATCAACAAGCTTTCTGTAAAATATGTAACACTTCATTCACAACAATGAACCACAGTCACACCTGGCGACTTCTTGTGTGTTTCCTGAGAAACTGTAGTCAAGGATTTGTTGTTTTGGGTTGCTTATTTATTAAGGGCTTTCTCAAATTTTAATTTACTTTTCACAGCATTGATAAGCATAGTTTAACACAGAGTTTGGAGTATTTAAAACATGGGAGTATGCACAGCAAAGAGGCAAGCAAGCCCACTAGACACAATTTTCTACTCTTCCAGGAAGAATTTTTAAAGCTTTGTTCAAAGCCTTTTAAATGACTTGTCATGGGGCTTTCGATGTATAATTGCCTATGAGTTTAGGATACATATGAGAGAAATCAGCTTTCTAGTCTATGTGATGCAGATGTTCTGAAAAAAGACAGTAGTGATGGCAAAACACTGCTGCAGTGACAGGAAGTAGTGGCGCTGCATTGAACGTGATTCTTACATACATATGTATATATGTGAATATGCATATATATTCACAGCCGTACATACCTTACATGTATGTATATGTATATCCACGCTCACACAAAAGGTTAGAAAGTTTTGTTTTGTTGTGTTTCTTGCAGAGGTGTGTTTTCATTCTCCTATTTGACTATTTTAAATGAGTCTTCACATTTTTTTTTCAATTAGTCTAAGAAATCTAAAATTCTGGAATCTGTTTCTTTCTATACACTGTGGGAGAAAGTTACATAACAAGACTTGTTTTCTTGTATGACTTTATTTCAAAGTAACAAGCTTTGATTCATGGTGCATTTTTTTCTTTTTGTTACCTGAGTTTCAATGAATATGAATTTCAAAAAATTACACTTCTAATAGAACTAAGAACTGTAGTTTGAAAGTTGTGTTTCTAATATTTTTTTGGCAATCACTTTTGACCTATTGTTTAAAGGTTTCATCTAGAAAGTATATGGCGAATCCAAAGGTCACACTTGTTCCATTTGGTGCAGCTGAGTCCACCCTCTAGCTCTCACAGCAGTCTGTAAAACAATAACAGGGTCCAAGCGGTCCAGTGCATCCCCAATTGGTGTTCTCAGTGTGCTCTGCTGTTCCTCCCCCACCCCCCACGAGTAAGCCCTGCACTTGGAAGGGCATCAAGTCCCTCAAGTCACCATCACTCACCATTTCTGATTGAAACAAGGAATTTCATACTTAAAAGATGCTCTTCCAAACAGCAACACTCCCCGCTGAGCATCTTTAATTTCCCAAATTAGCTTTGTGTTTTGAATAAACAGCCTCATTTAAGAACAAGGTTTGCAGTTTACTTAAGAGTTTATGTGAACCTACCATGTAAGATAAGAACGAAATAAGAACACATATGAAGCTTTATGTTATTAATTCTTTCATTTTGTTAAGAAGCAAGACAAGAAATACTGATTCTGATTATCAAGGTTTAATGTTGTATTTTGCATTTGTATTGCTGTGAGACCACCTTGTCAATCAAATGAATTTTGACTGAAATATTAATATATCAGACTAAGCCAGGATTTAAAACATCATGATCAGATCCAAAATGTTCTACTCTAGGCAACACTGTGAGTTCAGTCTTCAGCTCTCTCAGCTCCTTTTCTGATCTCTTGCTATTACCTTTTCACTTCCCATGCTTAATGTATTTTCTGATTGCTCCATGTGATGAAAGCCTGTGAAATAGAGCCTGGTATAAGATTGAGCTGGATGTTCTCCTGAGCTTGACATGGTGAAACTCCGGTATAGCACGGCTTTAACAGAAATTTGAAAGCTCCTGGCTTGCCAGCCATGTTGCATTCTTCTATATCTTCTTGTTTGATAATTGACCTGTCTTTCCAGCAGATAGAAACAGGGTTTTTCATATGACATATCCTTAGTTTATCTGCAAGGCAAGGAGCTTAAGTGATACACAGCTAGACCAAATGAACGCCGCCTCTTGTAGAAATGTGTAGAGTTTTAATGTATCCTCAAAGCCCATCATGGAATAAAGTCCAGGTGTGTTCCTCAACCACTAGCATCAATGTCCCCTTTGGTCACTGATGAGTGTCTTAAGTAGGGTTTTATTGCTGTAAAGAAACATTATGACCACAGCAACTCTTACAAAGAAAAATATTTAACTGGGGCTGGCTTAGAGTTTCAGAGGTTTAATTCATTATTGTCATGGCAAGAAGCCTGACAGTGTGCAGACAGACATGGTGCCGTAGAAAGAGCTGAGAGCTCTACATCTTGATCCACAGGCAGGAGATGAGACTGCCACAGTAGGCTTAGTTTGAGCACATGAGACCCCAAAGCCCACCTCCACAGTGACACATTTCCTAGCAAGGTCACACCTCTTAATAGTGTTGTTCCCTATGGGCTAAGCATTCAAACACATGAGTCTACAGAGGCCTTTCTTATTCAAACCACCAAGTGAGAATGGTTAGTCAGCATCATCTTTTCCTCCCTCACCCCGGAAAGGTGACTAGAGATGTTCAGATAGAACTTAGATACAGACATTGGGGTAGCAGATGAGGAGATTATATGTAGGGTGGAGATTCATCTTTCTCCAGATTCTCTTGTACTGAATAATAAGATAATGATTAGAATATGTAAAATGTTTAATGAGCTGTGCTTGTGATTCTTTTCAACTGACTCTCTATGAAGTCATACTCTCTGTTTTCATTATCTGTTGAAAGTAGGAACATTGATGACTTTGTTATACTTTTCTGCTTTTGAGGATTGGGGCTCATTTACATAAATACAATGATATGCTAAATTTTGAATATCTAATTCTGATCACAATAGCATCAAAAGTGCCTGATTTCATTAGATATTTTTATTTTAAATCAGAATCTGATGGGTATGTGTCATTAAATAAATTTTGAGCTCTGTCTCAGATCAGATGGTTACTCTCAACATGCTGGTTGTGAGCCCTGTGGAAAACCTCTATACCCCAAAATATTTACATTCGTATCCTCTATATCCAAAAATATCCATAACAGTAGAAAAATTACAGTTATGAAGAAGCAATGAAAATAATTTTATGGTTGGGGGTCACCACTACATAAAAAACTGTATATAAGGGTTGCAGCATTAGGAAAGTTGAAAACCATGTATGTATCTTAAAAGGTTCATGGCCGTGGATTATTCAACAGCAGTTGTTCTAAGACTACAAGGAGTGCCAATCTATAGAAAAGGCAGCTTTTATAGTTTGGAAACTGTGTGTAGACAAGGAGCATATTTGTCCTAGAGTTCTTACACTTTTTCACTCTCATATCTCAGACATCCTCAGTAGAATGTGTCAAGGTCAAAACCATAAAGGGCTAACCAGGGGAAACCTCGGGATAGCTGCGATCTGAAAATAACAGCTGGCTTTCTAAAGAGACAGCCCTGCTGACTGTGCAACTTATATTATTATGCTTCTCTTTGGGAAGCTATGAAGTCCTTGGAGGGTAAAGGCAGGAAACCAAAGGGCAAGAATAATAGAGGAGGAAGTGATAAGTGTAAAACAAGAGAGTAAAGGAGTCAAGGGAGTGAGGATAGGGGATGGGGGGAGAAGAAATAGAGAGGAAGGGACAGCACTTAAAGGGAATAAAGACTGAAATAGTTATTTGGTACTAGACAATAACTATAATTTTCAACACCCTTTAAGCTTTCAAAATTTGAAGGACGTATCTCAAAACTTACCAGAGTTCATCACTAGCATTAAAACTACCCTCCTGATGCCCAGGCTCTGTTAAAATGGAATATATGAATGTCGCGTGAAGTGCTCTAGAACTGCATGATACAGAGGTACAAGTAAATGGAAGACATAAATCTAAAAGCACTTGCATTTGACCATAATGATAAGGGGCAAGTGAAAGTATTTCTTTAAAGTTTTCTTATACGTGTTTTCAGAGTTAACTGCAATAGAAAATGTATCCGAACTGACTTTACCTTGAAAGATTTGGGATTCATCTTGATGGTCAGGGAACTGTGCCTATATAACTCAACTTTGCATCTACTTTTTTGATATTTAAATAAAGAAAAATGGAATCCAAACAACATTTAGAATTTATTTCAATGTCATTAATACTGTTTGAATCCTATAATTTATATTGATGGTTGTGAATACTGTTCCCAGTTTTATAGTGGCTTGCAGACACTTTCTGGCTTGTGGAGATATCTTAGTATATACTTCGAAGCACATGAATTTGTCTTCTGCTTCTCTCCTCTGCCCCTTGTTGGTATAGCGGAAAATGGCCCCCGTCTACTCGTGGAAGCGGAACAAGCCAAGGTCTTCTCACACAGAGGTGGCAATGTGACACTGCCATGTAAATTTTATCGAGACCCTACAGCATTTGGCTCAGGAATCCACAAAATCCGCATTAAGTGGACCAAGCTCACTTCAGATTACCTCAGGGAAGTGGATGTCTTTGTTTCCATGGGATATCACAAGAAGACTTATGGAGGCTACCAAGGTCGGGTGTTCCTGAAGGGAGGCAGTGACAATGACGCCTCCTTGGTCATCACAGATCTCACCCTGGAGGATTATGGACGATACAAGTGTGAGGTGATTGAGGGACTAGAAGATGATACAGCTGTGGTAGCATTAGAGTTGCAAGGTAAGTATTCATACAGCATGTTAAACTTTGAAGGAATGATTAGTCACGACTATTGTTTTAATATGAAGTTACATGTTGTGGTTACTGCAGTAAGAGTGTAAGAACCCAAAGTCTGTGCTTAGTGGTTTTTATCCTTCTGATTTGTCATCTGTATATGATTTCAGATTTCATGGTTGAAATGTATACACAACACTTATGTGCAAATTTGAAGCCATTGACAACAAGGCGGAACGTGCAATGAAACTAAATTAATAATTTTCTCAAATAGCCTTATGCTATTCAAAGATTAAATCCCAATATGGTTATTGAGAAAAATTCAAATGAGAATTCTTTTTATTGTGCTTCTAAAGTTATCTCTGTTTCAAAACAATGCTAAAATCGGTAAAGAACATCTGCAGCATAATACATGTAATTGTATTCTGTGAAATAACTGTAAAAGTTAATTTAGCAGAAAACATAACCTCTGGGTTTACTTAAATATTCTTGTAAAAGGTGATTCTTTCAATGGCGCGGGATCTTTAAAATTCAAATATCAAATAATCTAGGTATTTGAAGAGACTTTCTATCTCTTGCATAGGTAACACAATTGAAAGGTTCAAAAGTCAACACTTGCACACAGATATAGAAGCAGAAGTGCCTTTGCCTTTCAATCACTTCTGCTCAGTGATCACTTCAGGAAAACTTTTTGTGTTTAGGATTTCTTACATAGTGCAAACTTTTATTCTCTTATGTTTTGCCAATGTTCTACACTGAAGAATGAAATTGGCTGCATTAGTAGGACGGTTTCCTTTTCAAAATAATGGATCTATGCTTTTAACCCATCTCAGAACAGAGTAGTGTCTTTTGAAAATGATAACACTGAACATTGGCCTTCCTGAATCCCACAGGATCCTGTCAGGCATGTAGATATTCCTCAGCTTCATGTCTCTCCGTGACTTCAGAACACATGTTCTAGCTGTATAGAAGTGCAGTGAGAAGTATAGACTGTGCATCTAGTTAATCCTCGTATGTAATACTGTTTTCACTTTTAAATATTATTATTTACAATTTATGAAGTTGGTGTATCCCGGACGTAGCCCCCTTCCTCATCTTCTCCTGGTTCCACTGTCTTTTTCCCTTTCTCTGTTATCCTTCTCCCCTAGTCCACTAATAGGGGAAGTCCTCCTCTTCTACTGTCTGGCCCTAGACTATCAGGTTCCATCAGGACTGCCTGGATCCTCTTCCTCTGTAAGCTGGCTAGGTCACCCCACCAGGGGGAAGAGATCAAGTAGCAGGCAATAGAGTTCTCTCCTAACTAGGGAACTCATATGGTCTATGGCTCATATGGCTGTCTATGGTCTACATCTGAGCAGGGAGTCTATGTCCTCTCTATGCAAGGTCCTTGGTTGATGTATTAGTCTCTGCAGAGCCCCCTCAGCACAGATTTTTTGGCTTCCTTTGTCTCCTTGTAGGACTCCTGTATGTGATACTTTTTATTTTCAAGTTGTTTTTTAATACATAACAAAGATAATTAGTTTATTTTTAAAGAAAATATTAAACATTTTTCAAAAGTTATAAAAGCCTTGTTACTTCATAAAAGGATTTTATGGCATCATTTTAAAATAAAAAGGAACGCAAATATAAATACGGTATACTGGATTTGGACCTAACTCAATCATGTGTCAATAAATAGAGAACAAATGAAACTTTTCTGCTACTCGTGAACAGCGCAGCATGACGCAGGATAGTGGACTGAAATCTGAAATAGTTACAGGTCTTTACAATTTTTATAAATCAAAGTGTCCTATATTTTCCACTATTTCTATCATGAAGCATTTGGAAAATAAAAGCTGACATGAATAGTTTCTATCTTCAGGTAAAAGTTCTGGAGATTTTCTGCCCCTTGTGTTCTAGCCACTAAGAGAACCATTGCTCAAGAGAGTATTTTCTTTCTCAGGGATATATCTGGGATTGCTGAGAAAAGAGAACACACGGTAAAGGGTACAGAGAGCACCTGCTCTAATATAGAGAGCATCGTGGCACTTCTATGGTGGGCACACTGCTGTCCTAGCTGGGTAGAGCATCCTGAGAACCATCTTCAGGCTCTTCTTCCATCTTACCACTGCAGGAGTCAGTGGCAACCAAGAGTCTTTCCTTCTTCCTTTGGCTCTGATACAGCTGATAGATCTCCCAGCCAAGGACCTGAGACGGCAGAATGAGACCAGAAAGCCTTCTTGGATCCTCTCCTGCAGCACTCTGCGCCAGCTGGACTATTAGAGGGACAAGGAAAGAGGCTTGGTTTAAAACCTCAAAGTCTCTCCTAGAAGCATCCAGGATAATTTAGAAAAGAAAACACTACCCATGACTGGCTGTTAGAACACTGAACATCACCTTGAATAGGATTTGCAGTCTTGTAGCATGTGATTTAAAGCCCATACAATCGCTGGGCCACTGGGATAAGAGGCCTGCGTTCCATGTGCTAAGATAATAAGTAGTTGTGATCTTATTTCTAAGAACGCTTGCTCTGAATTATCTTTTATTAACTGTGGGGGAGACATATTGACAGAGCTCTTCTTTAATATGCAGTAAATGACAAAATTCTGAATACTTGACTTGGGAATCAATCCTAAAGAAACTGTGTAGGATGTGAGATAGCTCAATTTCCCCCAATAATTATTTGGCCAAAAGAAATGCTTTCAGAAGGCCTTTGCCTCATCCTAGACAAAGTCAATCCATACTCTTTGTTTTTACAAAGGGATTGTTCTCAGATATACTTGGCTCTCAGGACTAACCTGTCAGTTAAGAAATGTTTGCTCATCTTGTGTTCCACAAGTTTAGGGAAGTAATTCTTTTTGTCTATGTATATTGAAAGCATTTTCAAAATGTCAGTCTTAGTTTGTAGTATTATTATATTACAATATAATATTATAATATGTAAATAAGGAAGACAAAAATGCTAACATTCAACCCATTTTCAGGTTCTTCCCTGCAGTACCTCTCTGCTGCCAGAGAATGTGCCTTTATTGCTCAGTAGACTTTCCTTGCCTGGCCTTTAAATAAACAATAATGAGACTTTTTTTTTTTTAAGTAAAAGCCCTTGTTTTAGCTGTTTCAAGGGCAGGAAGCAATAGTTAAGGAATACGTTAAAAGTTGAAACAAGGGCCGGGTATGGTAGTGCAAGCCTTTGATCCTAGCACTTGGGAGCCACAGGCAGGAGGATCTCTGAGTTCAAGGCCAGCTTGTTCTACAAAGTAAGTGAGTTCCAGGACAGCCAGAGAAACTCTGTCTTGAAAAACTAAAAGGAAAACAACAACAACAACAAAAAGCTGAAACAGAAGAGTTATTGTGCTTTAGATGGGGTGTGCCTCACTGGAACAGAATTACCTCATTAACATGAAATGAGACTAATGAGATTTTTGTTAAGTATGCAAATCTAATTGAGGTTTCTCCAAATAATAATCACAAGGAGACAGTAAATTACTTGCATGGTTTCAGCATCACATGTAAAATAAAATAAATGGACACGCTTATTTGAAGCATTCAACATATTTCATATAGTCAGACTATATAGTCAAAGACTATATGAAAATAATTGCAAACTCCATAACGACTCTGAAAAGAAATATGAATTTTTAAAAATATCATCTCCCTCTCAATCCCTCAATTCTCCTCAGTATTAGCAGCAACTTTTCCCTTCTCAGACCAGCTCAGCAGTTGTCTGACCTGGGGCTAGCAGAAGGCATTCTTTCAGGGCGTTGTTTACACACTGTAACCCAAGGCTGCATCTCTCTCAAAAAGGAGATATTTTTAGCATAAGGTGAGCTCTTGGCAGCAGAGGCAAATCCCTAAAGTTGTCAATCCAAGTAATAGCTACTTGTGTGATACTTAACGAAGTGTGTGAGGGAGAAAGGGGCGGTGAGAAGCCACCTCAAGTTACGATCGTTCATCATGGAGATCGCACTTTTCTCCTCAGCTGCCCGTTGGGGGACGTGCTCAGGGTTCTAGCACTAAGACTTTGCTGTCTCTCCTCTGCACAGGTGTAGTGTTCCCCTACTTTCCACGGCTGGGCCGCTACAACCTGAACTTTCACGAGGCGCGGCAGGCTTGTCTGGACCAGGATGCGGTGATCGCTTCCTTCGAGCAGCTGTACGACGCCTGGCGGGGCGGCCTGGACTGGTGCAATGCTGGCTGGCTCAGCGACGGGTCTGTGCAGTACCCTATCACCAAACCACGAGAGCCCTGCGGGGGCCAAAACACGGTGCCTGGCGTGAGGAACTACGGGTTTTGGGACAAAGATAAAAGCAGATATGATGTTTTCTGCTTTACATCCAACTTCAATGGTAAGATAGTAGCTGCATTGCCTTCCTTTCTATCCCAGAGAACAAGCCGTCTGAAAGCACTGAAATTTGGTGTTCCCTTCTGAAAACAAACCAACAAACTAACCCTTTAAGGTACTGATACAAGCCAGGCGTGTTGATGCACGCCTGTAATCCCAATGCTTGGGAAGCAGAGGCACACAGAGCTCTGTGAGTTGAGGCCAGCCTGGTCTACAAAGCAAATCCAGGCTACACAGACAAACCCTGGTGGGTGTGGGTGTGGGGGGGGGGAGTACTGTTATATTTTAAAGTGTTCTTGAATCTTGAATGTCATATTACTTAGAATATCTACATAATCAAACAAAGGCTGTATACTTCTGGTTCTCCAACAATTTAAGAATCCTGTCTTTTTCTGAAGTAGCAGAAGCTGTGACTTGCTGCATGTTCCACTTTACCACAGTGTGCTCTCCCTGTGCCACTGTTTGCTCTGCCGAAGGGAGGAGCTACCCAAGTTCAGGCCAAAGGAGGATCTGAGTGAGACAAACAGCACAGTTAGCACCAGAAGCAAAAGGCAGGGAAAGGTCTCAACAGCCCTAATGACCGACTCGTCAGTCACACTCTTCCCAGTCCTTTTTGTATACCCTCCTGAACATAATCTTGGGGGTCCATCACCAAATGAAGATGCAGGGGATGTTGTTAAATTTTATTAAGAATTTTAAGCTATGTGTGTGGCACAAGCCTGTAATCTTATCATTTAGTAGACTGAAGAGGGAGGATTACAGGTTCAAGGCCAGCCTGAGCTATAGAGCCAGACTATCTAAAACTAACAAAGACAAAATCCAGATGCACCAAAAGTAGGGTCTGCTCATTGGGGAGCCAAAGCAAATGCACAAGTCAAGTGCTTATGGATCAAGCTCTGTGCCTATAGTTTTATATTAGGGCCTCTGGACACAGACTCTGGAGTAAACGAAAAGGAAGAGGTGTGCAATCTCCGTAAAAAAGTGCATATATATATATATATATATATATATATATATATATATATATATATATATATATATATATATATGAACATGATGTCCATGTTGTTACCCAATGGAGCATTTAGTGATGTAGCTCAACCATCAGCGGAATGAACAGATGGATAGGGGTCCAGGCAAACTTCAATTTCAAACATGTGGAGGTCCAGTTTGAACTCTTGTCCTATGGTCTGCATGTAGATGGCAGGCCAGACTCTAGTACAGGGATGCTGAAGTGGCTTCCCTTCTTTCAAACCTTGTTAAGTTAGAGGAGAAAGAACAGGCAGCATTGTTTTATACTTTTGGCAGCCTGTTTAGAGCTAGGGAGACATCTCAGGTGTGAAGCACTTGCCTCACAAAGACGAATTGCTGTGCTCAGTACCGAGAACTCACGTTGAAATGCCAGATGTGGTGGAGTATTCATAGTCCCAGTAATGGAGATGCAGAAACAGGAGGATTCCTGGAACTCACCGCTCAGCTAGGCCAGTTTAATGAGAGGCCTTGTACCAAAGGAGGTAGAGAGTTTTTCTGAGTAGGACATCAAGGGTTGTGCCTCTAGCTGCCGTATGCACACAGTCAAAACCATAAACAGATGAGCACACACAGTCAAAGAGCATCCAGCTTAATGAGAATTAGAGGATAATACACTATATGATGCGTCTGATAAGAAAATTTGATATTACATTAGGTGTATGCCACTTCAGTCATTTAAAGATACATGCGTACATTTTTTTTTTTTCTGTTAGTGGGAACTCAGCAATTAATACTGCAGTAAGTGGTTGAAAGTCACAGTGTTCCTGTGCAACCAGGGAACAGCAAGCTGCCAGCCGGGCTTCAGACGAGGTTTTGAAGCACCAGCACACTCCTTCGCTAGTGGGGGATTGCAGAGCAGTTTACATGCGGCGAGGGTATCACGGATGGCAAGTGACTTCCTGTGTTTGATGAATTTTTATGTGCTAGCTTTGGTGGAGAATAAGGTCTTATTGATACCTGTAATGAAAAGAACTTGAGGGCTTTTGATTTTTTTTTTCTAAATGGACTTTAATGCCAAGAATGTTTTTTGATCCTTTCACATTCAAATTTTGCCTCTCTAGAAACTTGTACTGGTGTTCAGTCTTGCTACAAGTAGAATTTAAATAGCCCTTCTTTCAACGTGGAATTCAGTCTTCCCTGGAACCACAGAAGGGCTCTTAGTCCCTAATTAACTAACAGAAGCTTCATCTGCCATTGCTCTTCTCTTTTTAATGCTATGCAAGGGCATGTGTGAGCACATGAGAATCAAGGGAAAGCTAATTTATTTAATTTAGAGAGACCTATTAATGTGACATTTATTTTATTTATTTTTTTTATTATTACAATTTATTCACTTTGTCTCCCAGCTGTAGCCCCCTCCCTAATCCCTCCCATTTCCACTCTCCCTCCCTCATCTCTTTCCATGCCCCTCCCTTAGTCCACTGATAGGGGAGGTCCTCCTCCCCTTCCATCTGACCCTAGTCTATCAGGTCTCATCAGAACTGGCTGCATTGTCTTACTCTGTGGTCTGGTACAGCTGCACTCCACCATTAGGGGGAGGTAATCAAAGAGCCAGCCACAAAGTTCATGTCAGAGAGGTTTTCCCTTACTAGGGAAACCACTTGGATACTGAGCTGCCATGGGCTACATCTGAGTAGGGGTTCTAGGATATATCCATGAATGTACCTTGGTTGGAGTATCAGTCTCAGAAAACACCCCTAAGTCAAGATATTTTGGTTCTGTTGCTCTCCTTGTGGAGCTCCTGTCCTCTCCAGGTCTACACTCTGCCCAAAGTTTGATACCCTGCTGGGTAGAGTCTTTCAGAGGCCCTCAGTGGTATGTTCCTATCCTGTTTCTTGTTTTCTCCTTCTTCCAATGTCCTTCCCTTTTGTCTTTCTAAGTGAGGATTGATCCTCTTATCTAGGTCCTCCTTTTGTTTAGCTTCTTTAGGTGTACAGATTTTACAGCTTTATTCATAATAGCCAGAACCTGGAACCAACCCAGATGTCCATCAATGGATGAATGGATACAGAAATTGTAGTACATTTACACAATGGAATACTACTCAACAATTAAAAACAAGGAAATCATGAAATTTGCAGGCAAATGGTGGGATCTAGAAAAGATCATCCTGAGTGAGGTATCCCAGAAGCAGAAAGACACACAGTATATACACTCACTTATAAGTGGATACTAGACCTATAAGATAGAATAAACATACTAAAACCTGTACACCTACAGGAGGCTGGCATTTAAATGATAACTTTATGTTCTTAAAATATCTGACGTTGTTCTCTGTCTCCTTTCATTGAGGGGCACTTTGCTTTTGGCTCATTCCATCTCAGTGGTTCTGAAAGGCTGACTAACTCTTTCCTCCTCTCCACAGGCCGATTTTACTACTTGATCCACCCCACCAAGCTCACCTACGACGAGGCGGTGCAAGCTTGCCTCAATGACGGTGCTCAGATCGCAAAAGTGGGCCAGATCTTTGCTGCCTGGAAGCTTCTGGGCTATGACCGGTGCGATGCCGGCTGGCTGGCGGATGGCAGTGTCCGCTACCCTATTTCTAGGCCAAGAAGGCGCTGCAGTCCTACTGAGGCCGCTGTGCGCTTTGTGGGTTTCCCGGATAAAAAGCATAAGCTGTACGGGGTCTACTGTTTCAGAGCATACAACTGAGCATGCCCTAGAAAGAGTCAGTTCTCCTGTCGTAGGGAACACGTGAAAGGTTTTTTTGTTTTGTTTTGTTTTTATTATGAACTCATGCAAATTACCAAAACTGTGATAACCCTTTTTCACTTACTGTAAAGAGTCATTTTCATAAAGGCCAATTCATTCGTTTGTTTTGTAAAGCTATCAGTCAATATATGTTATAAATTAATATAAGTATAAGGGAAGCTAAAAACAAACAAACAAAAACACGAGCCAACTGGTTTATGCTGTCATCCCAACAAGATGCCATTTCGTGAGTGGAGCATGCAGTGGGCTGAGAACCGCCAGGGCTGTGTCAGGGAAGGTTACGTAACTTGCCGCAGCAACTTCCACAAGCACAAATTTTACATGTTTCTACAATTTTGAAATGCACTTCACTAAACAAATTAAAACAACATATTTGAAATACAGACTTCTTTACATAAACCAGGATTCTGGGAGGTGCAAAAAATCTCAGTTTCACAAGGGAACAATGGACACTTTTTCTAAAAGTTAGTACTTCAAGTGTCCAGTATACAGAATAGTTTACTCTATAAAATTCTACCCTTTTGACCAAAAAGGAAACCATATAGAGTCAGATGCATAATAATTAAACCACAGTTAGAACTCCTAGTTCAACCCATTTATATGAAGTATAGATTTAAATACACAGATAATATCTTACCAATGAGAGTCCTACCTTCTAATTAAAATTATCTATCTGAAAAGAACTGTTTTATTATTTTTGAGTAGCTTTACTGAATCATATTTAAATTCTAAGAACTTTGCTAAGCAGTATTTAGAATCTACTCAGGGCAGTTAAAATAATAAACTGCTGGACAGAAAACATATAAAATGTAGCAACTTGATTTTATGTTAGCTTATGAAACCTTATTGTCCTATAAAATAAGTTTAACCTATTTAATATTTCTTTCTTATTTACATTACATGACAAAAACCAAGTGAATGGATAATTCTACACTTGCCTAAATAAGAAATCAAGACTCAACTTCCAAAATTGTTCTTGTTTGTGTATACAACAGAGAACCCAAATAGAATCTATATTTAGGAAAAGAAAGCAAAAAAAAAAAACAAAAAAAACCAAAAACAAAAAAAAAAATACAGTTCTAAATGGTCTCTCAAATAGAAACTACCATCACTGTTAGTTTCCTTTCTGGTTAACATTTGGAAATAATAAAATACTGACATTCTCATAGTGGACTTTTCATCTTCAGGCTTTAAATGAAAAGTTCAGGTTCAGAAAAATGACTTCCAATATGAGCAATTCCAAACTTACATAAAGCTTTCTTTTTGTGACTGCTGAGACCCCAACGGGACCAATATTTGTATTCAAGTAATATTTCTGGTTTCCCATTGTTTTACAGTGAAATCTGTTGCGTGGGCCTTAGTATAATAATCCAAGTACAACATAGCTGGTGTGCTGTCAATGTTTTTATGTAGATTTTCATCCATGAACATGAGTAAATAAACCTGTTTCCTGAATTGACCATGGTTTCATTTAAAGCTCTGTAATAACTGTAATAAATTTGCTCTATGAATACAGTTACATGTGTTACATACAGAGCAGTTGGAAGTTCATGATACTGCAACTACCATGATACATTATCTAGATAAATTATTGCAAGTAAAAATAGATCCTTTCTTTCAGATGTTTTAGTCTTAAAACACAATGATGCATGCAGTTGTAAGTTAAGAGGTGCAAAGTACACAGAACTATAAATCCAAAGAGACTGTCGGGGTTCGCTCCAATACTGCTGATATAAATTGAACTCAGACTTCTAAGCCAAACACAAATTTAAGATATTGAATGGTCTAGAATATAATAAATATATTCTTTAAGAAGGAGGCTTCAAACTAGCTCCTCAATCACCTTATGGGCTGGGCTAAGCTCTTTGGAAGAAGACCATACTTGAATTATCATTACCTATATTGTAAGAATTTTGTCTAAAGTGCAAGTAGGAAGATTTTATATTGAAGTAGATGAATCCTGCTCATTTATCATCACAGAACTCCACATTTAAGTAAAGTAGTATTTCTTACCTTTTAAATACTTAGTACAGGAAACGGTGCTGATCAAACTCTCCAGCGTGACTGTTAGCTGACTCACGTCTCTATCAATTGCATACCATTTGCTTGTTCTTGAAAACTCCTACAACGAACACAGCAGGGCAGAGATTTCAACTTCTGATTTCACATAAAGGACCAGAATCCTCATGCCCTCTGAACTCCTCACTGAAAGGGGTCTTTTAATGCTCTCATCTTGCTGTTTTATTCCACCAAAAATCTATTTTCATACTTCATATTGCATTTGAATGCCTTTGAAAGAAAAGTTGTCTTAGCAAAATTCCTAGCAGAAAGCTGACATAATGCTGTCTAATTCAGAAATCACTTTGTAGACTTCAAAAACTCCTAGAGTATCAAGAAGATGAGATGACAGATAAGCTACAAATGTCTTCATCATTTTTGTCTTATGGCTCATATATAAAGAACAAAATATATCTATAAACTTCACTGAGACTCTTTCATTTGAAAACTCTAAGCAAAAAGAACCAATTCATATAAAATACAATATAGGGATGAAGATAATTTGTCATATTAACACTGGAAGCCATCTCTTAATGACTGCTGCCATATTTCGTCACAGAAACTCTTAGCCAAATATAGTATTTGTAAATTTAAAATGTCTTTCATATATAGGGGGCCGGTACCTGATACAGTACTATTTTATTCAGTAAGATGGCCGCTTGTTATTTTGGCAATTAGTACACTCAAATAAGATTCCAATTTGGTTGCTGGCAGCCATACTGGGTTTCTTGATTTCAGTACTCCTAAAGATGTGCTTGTGTCACTGAGCAGCGGACCACTACAGAAGAGAGGATTAGAAGGGAATCAGTCATCAGGTTTGGTTTAGTCCTATTTTTTTCCTTTTGTTTGTTTGTTTCATTTCAGTTTTGCATAGAATGCTTAAAGAAAAATCAATTGACAGTTGACAACGTTTTTAAGAAGTTCAGTGTGTCATAGTTCAAGGCTGCCAGGACAGCACAGAGTACAGCAAAAGTTATCCATAATACAGAAGTTGTTAGGCCACCCAATTAGAAGAAAGTGAGCATTTAAATGCATTTAGTAGTTAATTAATAAGTATGAGTTTGAGGGGAACCAATCTGTATTAAAAAATATGTTTTCATTTTCTGTAAGACACATGATCTGGTAAACAAATATTAAAAGTCAATGATGCTTTAATACAGTATAATTTGATTCTTCTGACTTGTAGAATCAGTCATTTTCCTTTGGGTCAAACTTGGTAAGCATTTCACGCAATGCTCTATTGCTGACACAGTGTTCTGAATGAAACCACACTCAATTGAGTTAGAGCTTTGATAGTCAAACAAGAAAGTATACTTCAGAACTTTACCATAACTATTTGTAATACATTAAGCAGCCTTGAAGAAAAAAAATTCCAGCAGCGAGGTGAAATAAACCTCCTTTTAGTATGTAAGATCTTTAAAAATGAGAGATATTGTATTCATTCTGTCATTATTTTTTATATTTTTTAATTTTGTCATAAACAAAGTCTGTGAGACAGGGTGAAAGATCCCATGGCAGATCTTAGTCCCCAAATAAAAGTAATGAAACCATTCAAGTGTAATGTGTTACTTGCTTACCAAAGAAATGGCTTAATACTATAACTGTTCTTGAATAAATTGGACCCTGTGTTTGACCATGAGTTCTGTTGGATGTTTAAGAAGAGGCATGTAGCCTACTGAACTTCAGAAACCGATGTACTGTTGGTTTCTACGTCAATTTCTTGGTCCCTCCATTTATGATCTTTGAAGGCTCTGCAGTTTTACTTCTCAGTAGTGTAGACAGCTAGGTATTAGTGCTATATATAGTGCTAGTTATATATGAGTGCTCGATTCATGTTCCAAACTTAAGGGAAATTTTTTTTCATATATTATTTTTCACAAGAAACTAGAGCGACAAACTTTAATTGCATTTGTTATTTTTTCCATAAGAAACAAACTTCAAATTTGTTTCAGTGTTTTTAGATCTCTTTCAGTTCATCTGAAACTGTTGCCAAGCCAGAGTGGAAACCAATGGCTTATGAAATCAAGAACTTTTCTTCCTTAAGTCTGTCTTTTCTACTCTTGCCCTTTGAGTTTGTCCACACATCTAAAGCTTCAGCTATAAAATCAGGTTTTTTTCATGTAGTAGTTACCAGGTTATATAACCACTATTGATTTGGAAGAATATTCCCAAAGTAAATACAAAGCTCAAATTCTCTTCTGTCTAGTAATTGAAACATTGGATGATAATAGTTTTCTGACAATATTAATCCCAATGTTTTTCTGTCCAAAGAAGGAATCTACAAACTATGTCTTTATTATACTGAAAATATTTTTGCTTAAAAAAGTCCCTTAGAAATCCATCAATATAATCCACCACATAAACAAACTTAAGGAGAAAAACCACATGATCATCTCCTTAGATGCTGAAAAAGCATTTGACAAAGTCCAACACCCATTCATGTTTAAAGTCTTGGAGAGATCAGGAATACAAGGCACATATCTAAACATAGTAAAAGCAATATACAGCAAGCCTATAGCCAACATCAAACTCAATGGAGAGAAACTTAAATCAATCCCACTGAAATCAGGGACAAGACAAGGCTGCCCACTCTCTCCCTACCTCTTCAACATAGTACTTGAAGTCCTAGCCAGAGCAATAAGACAACTAAAGGAGATCAAGGGGATACAAATCGGAAAGGAAGAGGTCAAAGTGTCACTTTTCGCAGATGATATGATAGTATATATGAGCGACCCCAAAAATTCAACCAGAGAATTCATCCAGTTGATAAACACCTTCAGCAAAGTGGCAGGATACAAAATCAACTCAAAAAAATCAGAAGCCCTCCTGTATACCAAAGACAAAAGGGCCGAGAAAGAAATTAGGGAAACAACACCCTTCACAATAGCCACTAATAACATAAAATACCTTGGGGTGACACTAACCAAGCAAGTGAAAGACCTGTTTGAGAAAAACTTCAAGTCTCTGAAGAAAGAGATTGAAGAAGATCTCAGAAGATGGAAAGATCTCCCGTGCTCATGGATTGGTAGGATTAACATTGTGAAAATGGCCATCCTGCCAAAAGCAATCTACAGATTCAATGCAATTCCCATCAAAATACCAACTCAATTCTTTACAGACCTTGAAAAAAAGATTCTCAGCTTCATATGGAGAAACAAAAAACCCAGAATCTCCAAAACGATCCTGTACAACAACAGATCATCTGGAGGTAGCTCCATCCCCGATCTCAAGTTGTACTACAAAGCAATAGTAATAAAATCTGCATGGTATTGGCATAAAAACAGAAAGGAGGATCAATGGAACCGCATAGAAGATCCAGAAATAAACCCACACACCTATGAATACTCGATTTTTGACAAAGAAGCCAAAACCATTCAATGGAAAAAAGACAGCATCTTCAACAAATGGTGCTGGTCCAACTGGATGTCCACATGCAGAAAAATGAAAATAGATCACTATTTATCACCCTGCACAAAACTAAAGTCCAAGTGGATCAAAGACCTCAACATAAAACCAGATACTCTAAATCTGTTAGAAGAAAAAGTGGGGAACAGCCTAGAACTCCTTGGCACAGGAGACAAC